AAAAGATAATAATTAATTCAAAAATATTAGTCATTGCAAATATATATGAGAAAATACATCTAAATACATCACCAGCACTGTTAACAGTATGTTTATCCATGCAGTCACAGAGAGGAAATACATATTCTTATCTATTGACCTTGTATATTAAGGAAGATACCTGGAGGCAAGTAATGAGAAGGAATTCAAGGAAATGAAATCAATTTTAGTAGGAGCCAAAATACAGCATTTGGTTACAATAACAGACAAAAATAACAAATCAACAAAGGTGCACAGTGGTACTAAGGATAACAGATAAGGTACTATATGAGATGTTTTTGCATTTTTCCCCTTTTGGCAGAATTGTATTTGTATAAACTAATGACACTAAAAGCTCATTTATTAGTCAGATTCTGACGTCAGAAAAAAAATGCTCCTCTCTTGTTCAAATAAGGGAAGAGGACAAGTAACATGGAGAACAAAAACAAACACGTGGCTTGTTTACATGGACCACCAACTGTCAGTGTTTTTCCAATCCACTTTTTGTCTCTCCTACTTTTCCCCTTACTATATTATCACTTAGAGAGAAAAACTAAATGACTGTTCACTAAAACTCATGACGAGCAGGTTGGTCATCCCTGATGAATGTCTCGACTTATCTTACAGGTGAAACCAAGCACAGCATAGCAGACGGCAGACACAACAGCGCCAAGATTAAATCACTGATTTGTCACTGTTGGTGACGAGAAAAGTCATCCCAGTGTTCACATTTCACACACACTGTCGACAAGTTCCGCTATTTTTCATGATTGAATAAATTGGACCTTTTTCCGATATATCTAAGTATTAATTCATACTATGGCATTATTGTCTTTGTTACTGTACACTCATGCTAATATAAAGCATGTTTTAAACTGAACTGACAGGCCGCCATGTTGGAGTTTTGTTCACGCTGAGGCTCAAAGGCCCCTGAGGAATAGAGGAAGCTATTGAGAGTGAGTCATGCTGCTCGAGATAAATACTATCCCGCCATCGCATATTCTCTCTCCCACCCCCACAACATGTTTCAGCATGCTGATGGACATGTGTCATGAAATATCCCACCACCACTATCATGTGATTGTAGATAGCGCCATGATTTCATCAGACCTTACCACCGTAGAAAAATAAATATTGGTATTTCTTGAGTCATTTAAGGCAGGAATTCCCCTCTGTCTGTTTAGTAAGTTAAAAGAAAAACATTAAATCACTCAGTCCGCCTTCATCCCTCAGTCTGACTTTAAAACGCAGAAATGTGTGGGCCTCCCACAGATGTTCGATCCCTCCCTACCCACACCTCTCTAAGGAGTTGAAGTATTCCAATTTAAACAGGAAGTATTGGCTATGTCCCCATCACCTTTGACCTCCACTTGATTCAAAAGGAATCCTGGGGTAGTCTTGTTACCAGACTCAGTGAGGTTGTGTGAACTGCTATATTTAGCTATGAAAAACACTGTGGAGCCGGATTTGTTCCATATGCACTCTTACTGATCCAGTGGGCTAATTGGAAGCAGACATGTGATGATGAAGCAGCTTCGTCGGATGACGAGGTCCCACATTCCTGCTGCGGCGCCACTGCATGTTTGAGTAATTGTAAAGTATGTAGGATTAATAGAGTGGGTTGTTAATCTTAGAAACCCTCCTGTAGCAGGCGGGGTTAAGCTAAATCCACTCATCTTGAGTACATCTCCATGGATGTTGACAGATATGACCCTTATTATTACTGTGATGGGAGTCAAAACTGCTAAATGCCCATTTATGTATCTTATTGATGTCATACAAGACAATTCAGGCAAAATAAACTTGTATTGAATGGAGTGGTGATGCTATGGCAACATCACATGTTGATATATCTCAGGTGTTTTCTAATCACACGCCTCAGATAGATTACACACTAAATCAAATACACAACGCATGAATGGAAAGTGTTGACATGTTAGCCATACCTTACTTTGGTAGTACAGTAATTATTTGGATCCTATACAAAAATACTAATATCGCATTTTAAGAAATACCCCATGACAAGCAAAAATCTTGCATTAAAAATGTTACTTGAATAAAGTCTTAGGAAAATGAAGGTTGAAGTACTAAATGCAGATCATGTCCATTGTAACAGTCATACTATTATATTATCACATTGGTTTTATTCATGCATTAAAGCAGAATTTTATTATAGAAGTTGGTTATGATGGGGCTAATTTTAAACTATAAACCAATTACTTTTTTAATAATTTATTTATAATTTATGAATATTATTTCGGAATGAATTGAGGGATTGACTTCTAAAAAACGGTCACAATATTATTAATACAAATATGAATTACATTTAAAAAAATCGGCTCAATTAAATGTTTTGTTTTTAATAAAATATAACTAAAAGGTTTTGTTGTTTAAACATTTTTTTATATGTTTTTGCATGCAAGACTTTTGATTTGTAAGGATTTGTAAACATAATTATACAGATTATCAGTACATTTGGGCAGATAAATGTAGTGGTGTAAAAGCACAATATTTCCTGCTGAATGTAGATATCGAAAAAGTGAAATTAGAATAAATATTTAGCACAGTAATTACTACAGCATGTATGGTGGTCTAACACACACATCTACCTGTTCATGAGAAATAGATTGAATCGGTTTAAAATGTTCTCTGAGAAGAGTAGTGTAATTTAGGAGACTTCCTGCAACCTGTGGTTCCAGAATCAAGTGAAGACCCTGATGCTGAAGCAGCCAAATGGATCAAACCATCATTCATTTTTTCTCAAGGTTAATAATATATTTTATTTCTATAGCGCTTTTCTTGAACCCAAAGACGCTTAGGTTACCACTGTGTTTTTTCTACTGTGGCATGTCTAATGGCATGGGCTTCTGCCCTGTGGCCTGGAGTTCTTTTAATACCCCAGTAAATGCCTAATGCTCTCTCCTGGGTATTACTGTTCTGCATCGGTTGTTTGCTTTTTGATCCATGTAATAAATCCATGGTCTGTTATAGATCTTTGAAATGTCCAGCCTTGTAATGGGTATGTCTACATGCCATGCTGTTTTTTTTTACTACGCCCATTAGTATCTGTGATCTGTTCATCCTATTCTTGCTGTCATGTGTATTTTTTATTAGATCCTGTACTGGAAAATTCAATAGAAAAATCAAGAGAAAAAAAAAGAAATGCAAAAAGGAAGGAGGAAAATCCATTTGTTAAAAATATTATGTTTTGGAACCAACAATATTATTTTCTTAAAGATTAATAGACGAAAAAAACAACGAAACAACTCTACTGAATGTCAAATGTTGGATGTTTCAACCCGAAGCCATATGCAGAGTTATAGCTCCACTTAGTGGCAAATACTGGTAGGCCAATTTGCTATCCACAAATACATGAATAAAACATTTGGCACATTTCTGAGATTTTTCTGGCATATTTTGAGTTTATTTTATTTGTAAATGGCTGGCTTAAATATTTGTTTTGTAACAGGAGGAAAACAAACAGAAAGTATGTCATACAAGATCAATAAGGTTAAACCTATTTTAACCTGAATATCGCATGCACACAGTTGACATTTGAAAGAATGTTATAAAGCACTCTTAGCTTAAGCTGGTATTTTTGTTGCTCACTCACTTGAAAACTCTGTTCGAGTGTGAAATCCCTTCACTTTAATTATCTCTGCATGGGGAGTCTCTCTCTCTCTCCCTGAATCTGCAGGGAGAAGAACATCTTTTGTTGGAAGCTGTACGGTTGACCTACATGTTTAGAAAAAAACATAGGCTATCAACACCATATTAGGACTTAAGTATCAAAACTGTTGAAGTATTCAAATGTTTTACTCGGGTAAGAAGATGACAGTAATGAAAGGTTACAGTACTTTTAATGAACTGTTACTCGAGCAGAATATCTTCTGACCCTGTTCTGCATAGATAGATTACTTTTACTTAATAGTATTTTTATGTTGCTACTTTTACTTTTGGTAAAATATCTGAATTGGCTACTTCCTCCACTAAAGTAGCATAACATGGAAATACTCAAGTACCATTAAAATACTATATTATACTTGAGTGAATGAAGCTAACTAATATTTTTGAGCTTGTTGTTTGCCACCTTATAGCTGGACTATACCAGTCATATATAAGTATTAGCAATAACATTTATTTAAAGTACCAAAAGTAAAAGTACTCATTGCGGATATTGGCCATACTATATCATATGTTTTGATTAAAATTATTGATGCATTAAAGTGTTATCAAAGCTGGTAAAAGTGGAGCATGTTTAATTACTTTGTATAGTGCACGGTAGCTTGTGATTGCTACTCCAGAATAATCTTACATCTTATTTATGGGATAATTATTACATTATTAATCAAAATCTGCGAACTAACTAAAGGTAGGCTATTGTAGTGGAGTAAAAGTACACGATATAGCCCTGAATAGTAGTGGAGTAAAGTACAAAGTAGCAACACATTGAATACTCCAGTTAAGTACAATTCCCTCAAAACTGTAGTTAATGTACTTCAGTTAATTTACGAAGTTACTGTTCACCACTTGTTAATTTTCAATTGGTAATGCGTGATAAACACCCAACAATTTAGTTTAGCTCACGTATTCAGCCTAGATAATTACGTTACAGCTAAGCTACTAATTATGGTTAAACCAAAGTAGCTTTCGTAGATGTTTTAAAACATATTTCCCGTCTAAATGAAGGAGAAAACCCGTTCTCCTGGATACAAAATATAGAGTCTAGATACTAGCTTGTCCCTTTTAAATCTGCTTTCCAACCGAAGATAGGCGAGTCAAAGTCGACGGTTAACTACAGTAAGCCTACAGAGTGTAAGTAAAGTAAATAGTCGGTATCTGACAGTTTGAAGCCCTCGGGTCTTTCCGTGAATCCGAAGACACACGAAGTAAAAACTCCTCCCACAACTGTACTGAAGCTCAGCCATTGGTTATAATCCGCCGGGAAAGGGAGGCGGGGGCGAGCTGTTGGATGACGAACATAGCTCTGTTGACAAGAGACAAGAGAGAGTCCTGGACCCACACGGGCCTACCTTTTTTACACTTCCAGCGTGTGAAGATATCAGACGAGAGAGAGGGAGCGCCGAATCGGTTATTTAGTCTCCGGCGGATGTTGCAGACTGCGTGACGGGACGACACGGTGTAGACTTTTTCACAGGTTGATGATCCGTATTTGGCACCAAGCAGCACAAGTAAATACATGGTTGTAGTCTATAGGCTGTCTCTAGTGACACGGGTTTACATTTACAAGAGAAATAGGCGGTGCCTGTTTATTCCTGGAAGAATACAGAACAGAATGAGACATTTAACGTTTACAGGTTGGGGTTTATTCGCTGAAGTTCACGCTCAGACTTGGGCTGCAAGCAGCGTGTAGGAGGATAGTCTGAGAGTAAGGGACCCTCTGTGTTGCACATTTTGACTGATAGCCAATCGAATCTGTTATTCAAATCGGTGCTCTTATGTCAGTGACCTATATCTCATGCATGTGCGCCAAGAGCACACAATAACTTCTCCACCAGACCAGACCAGACAGCATGGGGATCGACGGACTGGACAATCAAGCGCAGCCGCCCAGCGTAGTGTCCCGGAATGAGGAGCCAGCTGCAGATCCTCACACGGAGCAGAGAGATGCTCCCCAAGAAGCAGACAAGAGCAAGGAGATCCTGCAGGAGGACAGCACTGTGCAGCTTATTGAGGCCGGGAGCAAGCCGCCACTCTCCCCGTCGGCGTCTGACTCCGAGGCGGCTGTCCAGGTGGAGGAGCCCGGCCACGGAGCCGCGTTCGTCCCGCCCGAAGGAGGGTTTGGCTGGCTGGTGGTTTTTGCGGCAACCTGGTGCAATGGGTCAATTTTCGGCATTCAAAACTCTTTCGGCATCCTGCATATGATGCTGATGAAGGAGCATGCAGACCCAGACGACCAGACGTCTCAGTTCAAAGTGGGTGAGTACCAGACAGTCGGCTGAGGCGAGCCAGACTATGAGATGAAAAACAATACATCAACTGGTGGATAGAAGTGCTTTTGTCTAGGACGCATGCTTAATATTCCTCATATAAGACATTTAAGAGGTGGAAATTAGACCTCCAAACCATGCACTTATGCTATAGTCACATAGCCTACCACATGCATCTATCCTCTTACAGAGATATCGGTGTCAGTTCACAGTTCAATGGGTTTACCATGAACTTAAAGTGGCACACTACACATAGTTTTGTATTACATACATGCCTTGCCAACACATTTTAAGTTTGAATGATTGTTTATGTTTGGAAGGAGTTTTGATGCATTCTATAGGTAGCCTACTTGCTCCTAGTTTGAATTGGTCAACTGCATGATTTGGAGAACACTATCACTGATGTTAAATCATTTACTCGCTGGATGTATACTTGCTACTCCTTCATCAACGTTGCCGCTACATCACCACCTTTTAATTTGCTGCATCAAATCCATTTCCATGGGTCACAAATGGCCCTTTGATAAAGTTGTTCCCCCGTAGGCTGAACACTATAGCAATGTACCACAGGCATTTGAGCTATACACAAAAATGTGACCCAACAAACTTTACAACAATAGGTTGTGCTCAGACTTTTTGCATCCCACTTAATATTACACAACATGTGCAATACTTGATCTATTTTACATTTCTTATTTGGCTTTTCTCCCTCCGGACTATTTGCAGTTCTCAGATTCAACATTGACTGAGAAAGAGGGATGACGTGACGAAAAAACTGCATAATTTACGTATATAAAAACATAAAATACCTCTTGATTATGATCTATTTCAGGAATTTATGCTCGTTTTGTCTCAATAAAGCTGGCATTTACCATTTGTTATTCTGCGATACAGAACCAAAATATGGCCAATGCTTTTCCCTGCATGCTTCAATCTAAACCAGTGGTGTCAAACTCAAGGCCCGGGGGCCAAATCCGGCCTGTGACTTCACTTCATGCGGCCCGCAAGAGCTTGCAAAGAATATAATATGTTTATTATACGGTTACATGATGCTTTACAGAAGCTTGTTGCCCATAAACTACATGTCGCACAATGCATCTCAAATTTGACTTTTTTTCCAAAATTTCACTTTTTTTAGATTTGGACTTTTTTTCCAGAATTTGGCTTTTCTTTTTAAATCATTTTGTGACATGCGCACTGAAGAGACTTGCAATTATTTGGCCCAAACTTCTGCTTTCAGACGTAGTTAATTATGACGTTATTACCCTATCTGATAATAATCCAATGCAGAGGCAATAATGTAATATAATACATTATTTTATATATATTAAATATTTATATATGTATTTTTATATAGTCTTATATATAAAACTGGCCCTTTGAGTGCAACCATGATGCTAATGTGGCCCGAGATGAAATTGAGTTTGACTCCCCTGATCTAAACCTTCTGTTGAGGATTATACCACAAGCTTTCACTGCTGAATGGTCTCTTAATATACTGGCCAGTACAATCTTGATACAACCATCTATTGTCGCATAAAAGGAAAAACATAATTATAAAGAAAAACCCTTTCAAGGACTTCAGCCTTGTTTTCTGCAGGAAAATCAATAACTGACATTTTCTTGTTTTTGATGTTACAATGTTGAAATGTTAGCTGAAAGCTGAAATATAAAGTCAGCATCCAATTTATTGTCAATGTAGCATCCTTGGAGTTTTGTTCCCTTGATGATGCTATCACTTTTACAACAATTACTGATTATTTGAGTAATATAAGTTATTTTTTAGGAAATAACTTTCTGATGGGCTAACCGGTGCAATGGTCTGTTTTAGATTATAGGGGGAAAAAAATGTTCTGGAGGATGGAAGTTTTTTCTTAACTTCCTGTCAAGATTCACAATCACCAGCGAAGGTGAAGGTCGCGATTTTCGTAGGGATAACGGCTCTAAGACTATTCCCTGGAACAATTTTAACCATTTTTTCATCACTACAGCATAGTTACTGAGGCAGAAAAAACCACAAAGTGAGCAGACATGATTGGTCTCATTAGAGTTGTTTCCGTAAGCTCAGCAGGGCTCAACGCTAACTTTTAAAAGTGGTTGCCAGGCTGGCAACCAGGCATCAGCTTTTGGTTGCCAAAACTGAAAAAACGGTTGCCATCTTTAGTCACCTTATATTTTAAATAATTAAGATACTATACAGATATACATCAACTTAATAATGAACATGTGACACAAAAGAATGTTCAAATTCTTTACAATAAGTAATTAACACAATTATTTGAAACTTAAGTGGTAGTAAACTTGTCCATCCTCAATTGCTGGTATACTAAATACCAGTAGTGCAGCTTTTGTCATGTTCTTCACAGATCCCCCAAAAATGAATTGAGCAAGTCACTAGTTTCTTGGTCATCCGTTGTCTCCGGGTTTCATTTAGCACTTTTATTTTGGTAGTAATAAGATCGGGGCTCTTATTTTCGAAAGGAACTTTTACCGGAAGTGAATGCACAACGGAGCAGAATGTACATATATATTTCGCCTCCCAAGACTTTACCCATTTCCTCTTTGCTTTTGTTCGGGTTCATCTTGCGCTTTATCAGTTGAATCACTTTGAACATTCGTTTGAGATGTTAACGGGTTGGCCGAACTTTTTACCGCACAGTCAAACAACTTAATTTGCTTCGCCATTTTTTGTACAACAAATAATTAACATTTATCTCTTTTGGGGTGCACATTTAGCTGTTTGCTGTCCTTATTTCTTTATGTTAAAAAGTGGTTGCCACTGATGACAACCAAAGGCCAAGAAGTGGTTGACATTTTTTCTGAATGGTTGCCACTGGCAACCTGGCAACCGTTACTGTCGAGCCCTGCTCAGGTTAATATATTTAATGGCATCTTGCACCTTGTTATTTCTTATTCATGTGAAGGAAATGATTGTCTGGGGGAAGCACGGCAGGGCATCACATTACTTTCAGTTTTTGCGTGATAGAGAGCCTGAGAACATGTTGGGCCTGAAAACAGATACCAGACCAGATGTATTACTTACAGTATGTCTTGCATTCAATAGAGGACTGTTTTTTTATCAAGGTTTTTCCATTTAGCTTTCTCCCTTTTTTGGTTATGAAAGATGTCATTCCTAAGATTTGATTCTTGGTTGTTCTCATATGTGAAAGGATTAAGCTGGTACGCTGAGTACTGACCTTTTCCCCCCAGCAACAGGAAAAAGACGAGAGGCAACAGTTTTATAACAATAGTCACAGTTGCAAAGGCTCTTTTTGAGCAAATAGGGAATAGTCCGTAAAAGTGCAATTCACGTGTTTGGAACATCTTAAAACAAAATGTTAAAGTACTTCACAAGCAATAGGACCATAATTGAAGCGTCATCAGGAATTTATTGGGATGTGATTACCTTTTAGGTCTTTTAAACCAGGCTCAATTGAACTGGATATTTATTAAACCTTAAGGGGTAAACACATGGTTTTCTAAATAGCTTATATAATCAAGGTGGGGGATCAGAAGAACTTTTGTTAAGTAAAGATATTGAAGCAGCAGGTTATGAGTCTCAGATGGTGCTGTTTTTATGTTCCTTTATGTGACCACATAAACAGAACTGCTGGTAGTGCTAGGTGTGGGAGAGATTTTAGACTTTGCAAAGCTAGGAATGTGTGTGAAGGGGCGGAATAACGGGATTGAGTGAGTGATTCATTTTGTATTGATGCTTGAAATGATCTCCATAATGTGAAACAGATCAGTGCCATGGTGTTTCAAGGATCAGCGGCTCTTTCAAGTACACTGTGTCCTATTTGTTTCTAAGTATAGAGCTGCAGAAGTTAATGCTAAGAAATATCTACTTTATTTAGTGTTGCATTGCTCATAGTCATAAAGGGTGATGTTGGATCCGTCTCCCTAAGCTCCACACACTCATAAAGAGGTACACCATCTGTATGATCAGAAACAGGGATGGACTGATTTTGTGCTGAATGTGGGTTTATTTTAACATAAAACGTAAAACGACATTTTTATGCTGAGTATCTGCTAACTACATCCTCAATTAGATTGTTTAGGTTTGATGTGTTTTTATTTACTCTTTTAAAAATAAAGCTTCTATCCTAGCTGTGTGCTCATAAAGGTTACAAGCAGAGTTAATTTGATTGTCCAATAAGAAACATTTCCAGGTGTCTGCTTTTGGTAAACATGACTACACACTACAAATACAGTATGTCCTAGTGTACTGCCTCATTTCAGTCACTAACTCACATGACTAAAGGAAAGTCTGAGTGACCAGGTTTATAATGCAAAAAAAGAGCATTTTGTTTTCATAAATGTTGGAAGCCAAAATATTAATTACAAATACAATATGATTAATCACCTATCCACGAAACCAAGCCATCGATGATACACTGTAGTAATTTTGTAGTTTTTGTAGCTTTTATTGGCTAGTAGGTAATTTGTCTCTTAACATTTTAGGTAGATCCAACACTGCTGTATTGTGCTGTGCAACATTGACAAAACATATCTTATATGTTTACCTACTTGTCATTATGCTGTATAATAGTATATTTTAAATATATGTGTTTTTTTGAGCCAGACTTACCATGTACTGCCCAGCCCTGGCACCTGCTAAAGGAATTAAATGTTGCCTTGAGGGAATGGGCTTGTACCCTAGCCTTTCCGTTACAGTAATGTTACGAAAATATGTATGGCAATTGTTTCTTGAACTATGAGTCCATGACAGTAAACACAATGTGTTGCATTGTCTAGTTTGCGGATTATTTCCCCCCTGTGTCTAATATGGAAAATGGTGTAAGACGTCAGAGGGCAGTTGGACAGTGTTTTTTTATTGTTTTAGCACACATAGTGAAATGAAACTAGAAATATGAATTTTAAAACTTCAAGGGCTGGTTCATTGTAGATTAAATCAATTGTACCTACTGCATTTTGCTAGATTTTAATTGCCCTGTTTTGAAGATGAATTGTTCCCTTGTTCCCTTC